TATCTGGAAGCCCTGATTCTGCTTCCCGTGGCCTCGCCGGCGTAGGTATAGCATTGAGTCCTAGGGCAGAACTAGCTCTCTTAGAGTGGATCCCAGTAGACAGTCGTTTGTGCGCTGTCCGACTGAACGGAACAGTAAGAATCCGGAAAGATAGGGACACTCGTCGTTGCCTCTTCGTCGTCTCTGCCTATTCTCCCACTGACTGCAGCTCAGATGATGTAAAAGATGAGTTTTACAGAAAGCTTTCGGACCTTCTCCGAAAAGCTAGGCGCTCGGATGTAGTAATAGTGGCCGGTGACTTTAATGCTCAAGTAGGTAAACTAAGTGATAAGGAAAGACACCTAGGTGGATCTTATGGTGTCGTGGCTCAAAGAACAGATAATGGCGACCGTCTGTTGCAGCTATGCTCAGATAACCGCCTGTTCCTTGCAAATACTAACTTTAAGCATAAGGAAAAACATCTTTTAACATGGCGACCCCCTAATTCGTCCCAACGTTGGACCCAAATAGATCACATCGCTATCAGCCACCGATGGAGGGGCTCGATAGAAGACTGTCGCTCATTCTGGAGCACATGCCTAGATTCAGATCATGCTCTAGTGCGAGCGCGTATTTGCTTGCGTCTTACTGGACGTAGGAAAGACGCTGCAAGGAAACCTCTTAGGGCCCTACTTAATGATAGTCAAGCTAAGAGTATATTTCAGGAACAACTAGGAAAACAGTTAGGCAGCCATGTATGTGATGCCCACCCCGATGCAGCATGGAATGATATCCGAAAAGCTGTGGAAACAGCAGTGATATCTGCTAGTAAGGTAAACCAGAAGGTTAGGGAGCAACACTGGATCTCAGCAGCATCTATCTCACTGATAGATGCTCGGAAACACATTCCACCTGGCTCTGAACATAATGAAGAGCGGAGTCAGCTTAAGCGCAAGCTGACAAGAAGTCTACGCAATGATCGCGAACAGTGGTGGGTAGCGAAAGCAAGAGAGATGGAAAAGGCAGCGGCAATAGGTAATAGCAGACAATTGTTCAGACTCGTTAAGGAAACCGGAATTAGGAACCCGACCGTTAGCGAAACAATCTCAGAGAAAGATGGACATATTATTCATTCTCAATCCAGGAGATTGGATCGATGGGCAGAACACTTTAGGGATCAGTTCAACTGGCCTTCAGCCACACTTCGGTTTCCCACGATCTCCAGTCAACCTGAATGGCAAGTTAATGTAGGTCCTCCGTCCCTTTACGAAGTTGAAAAAGCCATAGGAAATCTGAAACGAGGGAGAGCAGCAGGCCCTGACAGGTTTACTCCTGAGATTTTTAAGGATGGTGGTCCAGTATTAGCAATGAGATTAACTGAGGTCTTAGGTAGAATTTGGGAACTGGACGTAATCCCATCTGACTGGTCTCAATCACTGATTGTGCCAGTTTTTAAGAAAGGACAAAAGTCCTCTTGTGACAATCACAGAGGAATCAGTTTGACTAATATAGTGTCTAAAATATTAGCTTCAATAATACTTCGACGCCTAACTAAAGCTCGTGAAGAGCAGACTAGAGAAAACCAGGCTGGTTTTCGACCTGGACGTGGTTGTATAGATCAGATATTCACACTACGTCAGGTTCTAGAACACAGACACACATTCAGACGCCCCACAATGGTAGTATTTCTCGACCTTAAGGCGGCATTCGACTCGATTGATCGTGAGGTTCTATGGCAGTGTTTGTCACTGAAAGGAGTACCAAAGAAGTACATTAACCTTATAAAGGCTCTCTACTCGAACACAACTGGTCGAGTGAGAGCTTATGGCGAACTGTCATCAGAATTGATCACCTCAAGTGGTGTTCGTCAGGGCTGTCCACTCTCCCCATTCTTGTTCAACTTTGTCATTGACGTACTTTTAGAGATAACACTCTCCTCATCTAAATTTACAGGGGTTGAACTTCTACCAGGAGGTTCACTTGTTGACTTAGAATATGCTGATGACATCGTTTTATTTGGTGAAGACACTGACAAAATGCAGAGTCTTCTGGCCACTCTAAGCAACAATGCAAGCATGTTCGGGATGCGATTCTCTCCCTCGAAATGCAAAATGTTGCTTCAGGATTGGGTTACATCGACACCCGAACTAGTGATAGGGAGTGAAGTAGTTGAGTGTGTCGACCGCTTCACTTATCTTGGAAGTCTCATCAGCCCTTGTGGTTTAGTGTGTGACGAAATCTCAGCACGGATACAGAAGGCTCGACTAGCTTTTGCCAACTTGCGTCATTTATGGCGTAGGCGAGATATCCGTCTATCAACCAAAGGACGTGTTTACTGCGCAGCAGTTCGTTCCGTCCTACTTTATGGGAGTGAAACATGGCCGGTAAGAGTAGAGGATATTCGTAGGTTACTAGTATTTGATCATAGGTGTCTTCGAAACATTGCTCATATATCATGGGACCATCGAGTAAGTAACACAGTTGTTAGGAAACGGGTACTAGGTAAGGATGGCAAATCAATTGATGAAGTAGTGAAACTTCATCAGTTGAGATGGCTGGGACACGTGTTACGTATGCCCAACGACCGACTGCCTCGACGTGCTATGTTCAGTGGTATAGGAGTAGGTTGGAAGAAAGCTAGGGGCGGCCAAACCAAAACATGGCACAAGTCCATGAAGTCACTGACAAGTGAACTGAGTCATGTTGGTAGGTGTAGACTACCTGGTTGGGGACCGCGAGATGACAGCAACCGATGGTTAGAGACCCTGAATGACATGGCTCAAAATCGTTTGCAATGGCGCAGGTGCATCCACTCTCTGTGTTCTCCCAAATTCTAATCTTCTGAATTCTTCATGTCCCTTTTTTTCCTCTTTCCAAATTTCTTTCACTGGATTATACTCTTTAAATAACATCTCCAAACCCTAATCTTCCCGATTACTGCTTATACTCTTATTACCTCTACCACTACGGGATTTGAATCGACAACTGCATCTCTGTGCTAATGTGGTGTGGCAACTCGAACTGATGTACATGAGTACGAAATTCTACGTTGTTACTGACTGACTTATTAGAACTGATACTTGCTCATTATATAACTGGGCGCTTTATTATGATTACAATATACTACCTTCACATGCATACATGATGTTTTACTTTCTTCGTACGCTGGCTCGTTTGTATTTACTAGATTATGTTTCGAACAGATCTATGAATTTAAATTGCATACACTACGTTCAACAGTCTGACTTATTCTACGTAAACAATAACAGACTGTTGAGTCAGTCATTGGCAATTAAGAAATTAATGTTCTCGTTCTCACAAAATTCACCGGATTTATCTAAGTCGCCTAAAACCTTATTAAGGTGGGAAAATTTTACTTCTTTTATTTTTGCCATTGATTAAGCATCTGAACTGGAAAAGAATCCAATAAATTCACCATTGACTTGCTGGCTCACAGAAAAAAAGTAGCAAAGAAATTTAGAGAACTTTATTCGAAGATAAGAAACTACATATCAATTTATCACCAAATAGTAAGTAATTTAATGTTGCCAGATCTTCGATGCCAACAAAACTCGACTAAATCAGATTCGTAATATAAGCAATTATCTAAATGATTCACTAATAAAGTAAAGGTTAATCATGTTTAATAAAGAAATGAAGCATATTGTTGCCTTAAGGATCGATTTTGTGCAATACTATTTGAAGCATGAAACCAATGATTCTTCTTATCTAATAAAGTTGAACATGTAGCTGTATTTATCTTCACAATCAAGATTAGAGGACACTAATTTCATTAATCAGTGCCATCTGTTACTCTTACCATATTTTTGATTTGTCTACTCCAGTTCTATACCAGATAACATTGAATATTCTGATAAGGAATGAATGAACATAAAAATCACTTACCTAAAACACCTAAATTTACTCATTTTCACAATTTCACTAATTGATTCTTTTCATTGACTTAAATCTAAACACCCTCAAGTTAACATAAAAGCTTAAATGCTTATTGAATTAAAGTAAAATAAAAAAAAATTGAGGCAGATCAATATGAATTTATTTTATTTCTTATAATAAAGCCTAGAAACTAATAACATGGATTATGTGACAACTATGAAAGATTTGGAGATTTTGTGTAGGCTTAGGTAGTTAGATAAGAGACAAACAGTTAGGTGAAAAGATGATTTTAGCGTAAGTAAAATAACGAATCGTTTGGAGAAAATTACATTAAAATGACAATGACAATAATAATAATAATAATAACAGGTGATTTTAATTAAAATTGTTGATTTATCAACGTGGAAATAAATCGATTACTGTCTTGTTATGAATCTATAAATTCTATCTAAGCTTTCTAATTGCTACTTCTTCAAGTCAATCGAAGAGAAATGGAGTTATTTTGACTGTTGCTTCAATTATTGTTTTGGCTTTATTCAAATTCATAAAGAAGACCAATTGTATGAGATTTTTAATGATTATTTAGAAGTAGGATGACAACCCATACCTAATTTTTTTGAGCTATAGGATATGATCGGTTGTTTTGAAGTGGTTATAGAGTCTTTGATAAATCTATAGAAAGGCTGATATGTTTGAGATCAAAACACAAATCTTATCAGTTTAGGGGTTGTGGTGATTGTTATGTTTTTGATTGAAATAATGAGTCAATTGAAGCTAGACCACCATGGAGAACCTGGAATCACTGGACAGCCGTTTCGTCCTAGTATGGGACTCCTCAGCAGTACGCATCCACGATCCCGCACCCGCGAGATTCCAAGCCGTGACCAGTGGAGCTAATCCGTGTCGGGTAGAAACAGGTGTCTACCTCAGTACAATGGAAGATGGTCGCGCAATTTCGTGGATTGGTTGAGGTTAGACATTAACAAATCTTATCGTCAGATTCGCTAACAGACACTATACTTGAAGTTTCACATAAATCAATGTTTATTTCGATTTGCAAGTGTTATTAAAAGTATTGTTAATATTAAATCATTCAAACAATCCACTTATTTTTTCTAAACTAGGCTGAAGTATCAAAACTTCTACATAGACTTTCTGAAGAAGCTAAACGTGGTGCCGAACTTGTCCAATCACTAAAACACACAGAAGATCAACTAAAAGTAAGTTGTTTTATTTTCGGCCCTATCGAAGTCATATATATATATATATATATATATATATATATATATATATATATATAGTACAGCATAATATTTTCATGCTGCAGAACACTCTGGATTGTCAAAATGACTATTTGAGCTTTCCGTTAATTATAAGGAGAGAATTTATTCATTATTCATCTTAATTATAATTCCTGTCATTTAGATATTTTAAAATACAGATCGACAAATGTTTATACTGATCATTTTCATTGGATAAATTTCAACAAATGTTATATAAAGAACGATCTGTTTGAATTACGCTTAACAGTTGTTTATTAATAAAAAGACTATGTTTTAGATTATAATTTAATGACTGTATATTCTAGCTTTTATTCAACTGTCAACTGTTCTATCTATATATTAATTAAAAAACGGTGGGAGTTAAACTACAATATGATAAAGGAATTTATCTAAAATCTATGAACTGACTAGATTGTACTCTATGAAATGTGAATGGATCTGTCTGTCCTGAAAGTGACCAGGTTCAATCAGATAAAATTTGATATATTGAAATTGTAGAATCATTCAACTTGGAAAATCTCATTCAACATCTCAAAGTTGATATTAAATTAAAATATTTATTTAATTATTATGAAACAATAATCGTTTTGTGCCTTCAAAATGTGAAATCATGCTTCAGGAATAAGACAAGAATTATTAGGATCACACATGAATCTAATATAATCATCAAGTTGGCCTTTTAGTTTTGGACATGAGAAGCTAATAAAAATTTTAAAAAAAAAACTTTATTTGAGGGATTTGTAAGAAATTAGGCAGAAGGAATACACATTTATTTCAGAGAAGTTACAAAGTATCCATATAATACATATATATATATATATATATATATATATATATATATATATATATATATATATATATATATATATATATATATATATATATATATATATATATATATATATATATATATATATATATATATATATATATATATATAGCCTTCAATCGTTCATCGGAATCTTCCTGTGTGTTCTGCCATCTGGACTGTCTTCTTTTCTGGTTTCTAAGTGTTCTGTTAACGCTGTGTTTTCGATGCACTGAAACACTTCACTTTATCTGACATTTGTTGCAACTTCGACACCACGTCCCAATACACACTACCTACAGACCTTCTTGTGAGCAGTGTCCACTACAATATGAACTAATCATCATAACGTTCTCTTGCATTCGAATACGTGGTAACTAAGATGTTACTTTCTGCATATCAAAAACCGAGGTACAACATCTTTAAATATTTTACTTTGAGTGATGGTAATCAATAAAAAAATAATACATTATAACCAAAATATCCTTTCGAGGTATCATATACAATAATTATGATTTTGTCATTTGAATCCTCAGAGAAATATTTCAAATATGGAAACACTTATCAACAAAGAAATCGATATGCTTGTTGAAGCTCTACAGGAAAAGCGTACACAGCTTATTGAAAATTTACACTCAGAAGTACAACAAAGACGGCAGTATATACGTGAACAAACCAATCAGGCTGGAAGCAGACTTTCTTCAACAACTAGTTTAATTTACTTTGGTGTAGAATTAATAAAAGAGCGTGAATCATCCGCTTTTATCCAAGTATGTTATTTTTAAACTTACTTATCCCTTTATATTACATAATAATCAGTAATATTATCAGTCTAAAATCATTCGTGAAAATCTACACCAAACCTCAGTTGAATAGAAATGATGAAGACCTCTAGGTGGCATGTTTTCTCATATGAAATTATGTTAGTCAGGAATGAACTTTGACTGAACAATCAAGGTGAACTATTTTAATCACTGTGGTACATCAAAAAGCAAGACACTTCAGGCCTGTCATTATTATTTATTTATTATTTTATTTAGGCACATAAACGTTGGTACAAGGAGACAACAAATAAATATTCACCACATAAATCATTCGATTTGTGTGAGGGCTAGAATACTGCTCGGGTGCCTAAACCGAAGCAGGTGGTTTTCCTAGGAGGCATAACCGTGACCTTTGACCCAAAGGTCAAATCCACAAGGTAGTGGAGCAACGTCAGGAGATGCAGTTTCATGGTAGCCAGTGACCAACGATTGGTTCATACTCCATTTATTCCTTCAGGATCCTGGAGTCTATGTGCACTACTGGTTTGGAATGAGGGTTTTCTAACTCCCTTAGGTGGACTCTCTGTGTCCACCACTCCGGTTAAGGCCCTGAATATTCGCTTTATTTGATATAAATAATCATCCATTTTAATATGATATTAAAGTATACAGAAATGACCGTAACTTTCTTTCCATACTGGTCAAACATATTTTAGAAATATCAAATAATACATTTACATGAGTTAGTAATTAAGAAATCTCTAACTTCTGTACCACTACGATGCAGATACACTTAAATTCTTAAACTGGTCAAATATAGCTCATGTAGTTTATTATTTATGAAATAAATAATTATGCATATTTAATATTTTAAAAATGACTGTGATATGAGATTTTAAACTAAGATTTCTTATCAGTAAGAAATTAACAATATAAGTTAAGTAGTATATGTATTCAATGAAAGAGATAACATTGAGTGTTCATGCGAAGCTTCAATTCAGTGGAGGTACATTTAGCGGATTTTTACTTTTTCCAATGGTAAAGGTACTCAAATAAAGAATATACTAGTTCAATTCATCACTTACATGTATATTTACCCATTTATTTACTATTGTATAGTTATAACCAAATCAGATATACTTCCAGAAAATCCAATTTAGTATTATTTAATCAGTATCTCTTTGAATAATCCAAAACGGTCACGTAAACTCACAACATAGACTTATTTCTTTAAATTTGGTCTATGATGACAATATGATAGACAGGGTTAAGGTTTTTCAGGTAAGACTTCTTGAACGACCAATAATTTCTATATTTCACCTTTTGTAATTCTTCTTTACTACGTTTCGCATTCATGACTATTTTGAAGTTGAAGTTAGACACCAACACCGTTGGATGCCGGCTCAGTTGTCTAGAGGCTAAGCGCGGGATGGATAGGTCCTGAGGTCGAATCTTGCGAGATGGGATCGTGGGTGGGCACCTCTGAGGAGTCCTACAATAGGATGAAACGGATACCCAGTGCTTGCAGGTTTTCCATGGTGGTCTAGCTTCAATTGACTGATGATCTCAACCATTAAAAAATTATTATAATATCTACAAAATCCCTTCCTATGTTTAACTAAAGTCAAATATTTAAATATCCTAGGAAAAACACTAATATCAATCGTGCTACTAGTGACTGTATTGTTGAATACTTATTTCTTTGACTGCTAAATTCTCTGAAACCCAGCTAATACAGAAAGGAACCTTTTTCATGTTCTTCGTATTCATATATTTGGTAAACAAACATGAATAGTTAGGTACAGTTAGAATCAACATGAGACAATTAATAATGTACTTTCAATTGTTTTAACAAACAGTTTTTCTGGTTCAAGGAGATTAACCACACAACTGGATATGTTATTAATGAGTCTAAAACAATCTCTTGGTCATTAGAAGGTTACAATTTGCATGTACTGATCCTTAAATGTAGGAGGTTAGTTTATCAATAGCTACCCTTTACTAAATTTTATCACTGAATGGTGTTATTAATGTCCTATCCAATTCAGTAGTCATCTAAGCAATCCTAATGAAACATATTATGTTCATGATTAGAAACAAAAAATAACTCATTAGGATAAACAAATTTTGTTTACGAATTGTTGAGATTGGAACTAGTCTGCTGTTTTACCAGTTGATCTAAATACATCTGAAGTGTAGACAAATTTATAAGTAAAACTGCGAAAATGAATCACTTAAAACATACAACTACTATTAAAACTCTCTAGTTGTGTGAGTTAGTTATACATAATATGTTGATCAGCTGCAAATATATGTAGTTTTTTTTTAATCATCAATTATTGCTATTTACAACACCAAGCTGTTCAAGTTTAATCGATCCATTCCCATCAAATAAATGATATCCTAAATACAGTTACGAATTAGTTGGAGCTAGACATACACGTTAGTTGTTTAAAGGTTAAGCGCTTGCTATCAGGCCAAAGGTCCTGGATACGATCTTTGGTGTGTTCATAGGTTTGAACTTCTAGAGAATTCCATACTAATAAGAAATGGATCTTGTCTATTTTAGATCATTCCATGATTTAAACTATCACAAATAAAAAAATAGTTCGAAGAAAATCTAGAGCTATGTGCCAAGAATTATTTCTTAAGATCTAATTTTTGTCTTATTATCTCTGTGTATGTCTAATTAAAAAAAGAAAGCAAAGAAAGAGAAACTCATCTATAAAAATCAGGACAAGTACAAAAGTTACTTATATTATTCCTTTGGGAAAATATCTGTATATCTGTATATACCGAATATCTAGAAGTGTGTGTAATATGAATTAACAACAAGAAAACAACTTCAGATTCATTCAACTGAACTGATAGATTTTCTATTTTTATTTCTGAAGAAAAAATATCTAGATATTTCAAGCGTTGTCTATTCGAAAATTATTCTCTTAAGAAAGGAATGAAAAAATTCTTTTCTTTGTTTATCCTACAATAGTGTTTGAAGTTGTCGTTGTCGTTGTTGTTGTTGTTGTTGTTTTCCTCTTCTCTCAAGTGTCTATACTGACTAATAATTACTTTGCCATATGTACACATACACTGACTATTAACTTTATTCAAATAGTAGACACAGAAAATTATACAAGTACGTGTTAAAACTTCATTTTTTGTAAATATGTAGTGGTTTTGTAGATTATTTCTTTTTTCTATTTCATCTAATGAGATTATCCAATTAGGTGTTGTTACCTTATCCATATAATTTTGTCTGATAGTTTTGAACTTATACAATACAAAAATCAGTATACAGAATTCTTTATGCTGCTATTAAAGATATTGTAGGATGTTTAAATTTGCTTGCTTATGTAATAATTAACCTCAGTTTGAAGTATTCAAGACAAAATCAGAGGTGATCTGTATATTTTTCTGGAAATTCAAGAATAATAAGCAGTTGTCTTCCTTTATTTTAGTGTATAATCTTACATAAGTTCTATTCATGATTATTCCTGATATAGATCTCTAAGATATAAAGTTGGAATATCCATATTCGAATACCTTTGCTGATATATATGAAATCAATATTTTCCATCAACTCATGATACAATCAGATGTTAGTGTTCTATGACATTTTACCTTTTTTACAATAAACGATTGTTTTTCAACTCCTTATACTCATAATGTTATCAGTAATGAGGAACAATACATATTCTCTTAATATCTCCTTTAGAAATATACATCTTGATAAAGAAATGTGATTAATGATTCAGGTCATCATAACAACGTATTAATTTTCCTTAATAAATTGCTTTCGTTGTATATGCATATCTAACATTCATCTAACATTGTACACAATGCATTACATCCAAACTGTAATTTCCTACACAATCAAAACTCTTCACTAGACTTGATTGCATAGTAATAATAAATACTTCTTGGAGATTTCACACGTAATTGTCTTATAGGATATCTTTAGAAACACTGAATATTATTTTATTCATACAAATCGTGCATGATCAAAGTAAATAATTTCTTGGAAATGAATCTTAAAGTAAACTTTTTTTGCCCACAGAAAAATTGTATTTCTTATTGATGAATCAACTTACGCAGCCTATAGAAACTATAGTACATAGCATTAGATAGAAAGGTTACTTGTTAATATTCACCGACTGAGATTTATTCGAATGAAAAGAGTAATGACAGAACGGATTTGATTTTAACCGGTCGCTTACATTAAGTTGTGTTTTAAATTCAAAAATTAAGGATGAATTTTGTAGTTCATAAATGAAATTAACTGAAAGTTCATGAAAACATGTATCACTGTGGTGTAGAAAAGATTGAAATATACTTGAATAGATAGATTGAAATATTACAAATATATATCATATGCTACATCTGGAAATAGAAGCAGATATGAAAAGAATGAATAACAACTGGAAGGAGCTGGAAAGGATTGTCCAGGACAGGGTTGGATGGAGAATGCTGGTGAGCGGCCTATGCTCCTTCACGAGGAGTAACAGGTGTAAGTAAGTAAGTATATCATATGCAAAAAGATGGTTCTGGAACATTAATTTTGATGGTAGTAACATACATTTCGTCCATCAGTATAATCTGACTGTCTTCTGGGGAATATCGTGCTTTCATCAATTGTCCACCTATTTTCTTATATTATCTATTAATTAGTTAATCACCTTTTTGGGTTAGACACTTTCTTTTACAATTCAATTGTTTATTAGTGTATTAAAATTAATCAGTAATTTTTTGTACCGTACTCAATTATTATGTAAGACAAATTATCCTTATATTACTAAATATAAGCTTTCATTAGGCTATATATTGTCTTAAAGGAAGGAACAAGATAAAACATCATCTCTCATTTGTTTCTAAATCTTTCCTATCAAAAATTTAATCTTGTATTATTCCGTTTTCCATTCTAAGGATTTTGTAAAGTGTATGTAATTACACAATTTTTTTTAAAAAACAGATCTAACAAACAATTTAAGTATACGTTGGTACTTTGAATGTTACTAAACTATATATGTGATCAAAACGAGTATAACGTTTAGTAAAAATACAGTTCCATAACACTACATCCGTGCAAAAATCCCGACTAGGTTTCAATATGCTCTACAACTAACAATAACATTGATTGCCAGTATAGGGGTTGTGGAGATTATTAAGTTTTTGATTGAGATCATGAACCAATTGATGACGCTCATTAGCGACTAGCTTCGTGAGGGAATTCTCGGAGTTCTAGTGAGAAGCCGTGACTAGTGCAGATAATCCGTGTCAAGCAGAGACAGTACAATGGAAAATGGTCGCGCAATTTTGTGGATTGGTTGAGGTGAGACATTAACACCATTGAATGCCGGCTCAGTGGTCCAGTTGGTTAAGCGCTCACGCGCGAGACTGAAGGCCCTGGGTTCAAATCCTTTGGGCGGGGTCGTGAATGCGCACTGCTGAGGAGTCCGACAATAGGATGAAACGGCCGTACAGTGCTTCCGGGTTTTCAGTGATGGCCTAACACCAATCTGTTCATGATCTCAGTAAAAAAATAACATTGATTATTATCAGTGTGAGTGATCAGTTTCTTAATTACTAGTCAGTACTTCGCGTACAATAATCTATCTTTTCTTATCTTAAGGTGGCTCCCTCAATCAAACAACGCCTAATTAGTACCGAAAATGAATTAATCCATGAAACTCAATTTTGTCGCGAAAATTGTCTAGGAGATTTCCAATTACGTGTAAGCAATACCAATGATCTACTTAAAAGAATTGAGGGCATTACTTTGAATGAAATCTATCGTAAGCTAATTTTTATTACATAATGTTTATCATTAGTTGAATTTGTTCTTAATTGTTTACTCTTGAGTTTTTTTTTATACAATCCGAATGTACCAAATAAAAATTAGTCTGCTTATGTAATTATCAGAACGAACCATGTGGTGAAGAATAAAACTAATGATATTATTTGATTATTAATTTGTTGGGCATTTGTTTCACACTCGTTGTCAATTTCTGGATCCACTTTCCACTTATCCAATAGGGAATGTGATTTGAATATATAGTAAATAAGATTTTATCTTACTCCAATAGAAATAAACTGAAAATATCGAGCTTATTTATGCAGTATAAGAGCATGACAGCTCTTCATTTTCTAGGTTTTAGGAGTACCGAAAGCAGACTATCATTTTAACATTTCAGGTATAAATTAGATGGATCGAAACACAAATTTCAACAACTTCCTAGCCATGAATGACCGCATAGTTTTGAAAAGTGAGGATGAGTTCCACCTTAAAAAGTCAGTATGGTAATAACAACTGCTGTCAACATAATTCATGACAAGTTTTTCCTCTTTGAGTAGTTTCCAATTGAAAATATCTAACTTTTAAAAAGACAAGTATGGACTGAAACCCAAACTTTGTATGATTTTGCTTCTAACTAAAACGATTCTCATTTTGTTGTTCAGCTCTTCTTATGACGAACGATTCTTAGATAAGCGGTTGGGTTGTTTTCTTACATCCAACATTTAGTCAAAGTGAGATCCTATTGTCTGATATAACCCAGAGACTTCCGTTTCCTTAGATCGCGTTAGTTGCTTTAGTCAAATGGTAAAAAGTTGAATCCCCATACCTTTCCTTTAGCTAAAACGCTGGAAATTAGGCTAACTTGATGTTTTCGGCAAGCTGTTTTTCTATGTGGTGGGGTCGCTAATCCCATCCTTTACCCGGAATTAAGACAAGCAGAGTAACCTTATAAGTGCTCCGATTGGGATCGGTAAACAAGTGTAAATCAGTTTGGTCGTCTTTGAAAGTGTACCCAAATACAGCTAATAAATCGGTAAGGAAAATTGAATGCTGTATTTCTCCGAGAAACTTTATCATACTTGGTAGCGCATGTGTTTTGGGGATATCATCGACCAGCAGTACCAGTAACAGCGAAGGAATACTTGTCCATATATTACAAAATCAGTAAGAAGGTTGGAATGCAGCCTGCATAAAAGAATAGGGTAAAATTACCGGTAGTTAATCGTATTTGTATCTGGATACCATCCAAAAACAACCCAACTTCCGTAAACTTTCTTGATGAACAATTAACATCTTTACTACTGAACAAAGAAATACCGTCAATAATGTCGTCCATTACATTATAGTTTAAGTAGGGTTGGAGGTTTTTCATCGCTTTACGTCATAGTGTTCTCCAAACTTCACTAATCTTATTTTTAGTCATGTTAGAAGGCGTAGGCGATAAGACTGCAACCTACAAATCAGTGTAAACCGTTAACAAGGAAGTTTAAACAACATCACATGGAACAGTTAGCAGCGAAGCATTTCTAGATGTGTAACCTACATTAACACTACCGCATTTATTTGCTTCATTTTCATCCTTATCACTTTGTGTTAATGTGAAGTGTACTCGGTTTGAGTCCCAGAGTAAACATCAACTCTGAGATGCAGGTACATCCAGCTGACGAGTCCTAAATAGGACGAAACTCGCGTCCTGGATTCCACTACTAGCCGCTATCCATCTTTGCTTAGAATGCTTGTGAATTAAGACAATATCGAGGTGATACGCACAGGATGCACATATGCCAATAAGAGTTTGATCAATTGCAGTGGTAAAGATCAATGGGAAGATTCAATTAAACAATACCAAATGCATTTTTAATTATGTTAAATGAAGAAAGAAAACTGTATGCTAAGCTGAATTAAGAATTATTTCTTTTCACGTTTGTTTATTTAATTGTTGTATAGTTTAGGGTCATACTTATTTCCTACTTTATTAATCAGATATTTGTTAAGGTTAGCAAGTCAGTGCTCATTTAGTTAGTAACTTTGCTTGTATATATAACTCAGATCATTTAATGAATAGTCACATAAAAAGCTTTGTATATAACACTAGTAAACTCAAAAATAGAGAATGATAATTGATCTAATATGAATAGGTAATTAATTCCTATCCATTGATTATCATAATTGTTAATAATTTTCCACGTAAATATCATGAAAGTACTCAAGAAGAACGAACTAACAAAAACGTTAAAACAACAAGTTTATTCGTCAACACAATCATTTCATATAAATATGATTGCACAATTTCTTAAAGTAGAATCATTGAGAAGAAGAGCTTCTTCATTCAAATATTTGTTAACGAGGAGTATAAATTTTTGTGAAAATGAAATATCTGGTACACTATGTGGTTAACAGCGTGTTCAAAGTGATATATAGCATGCTCTCTGAAGAAGTAACTTGCAATGAGTGACGTAACGTCAAGAAACTTAAAAATTTAATTTTTCTATTCATTAGGATATTACAAATAAACTATTTTTATTAATCATATTCATCGTGGTTATGGAGTAATTCACTTTACACTAACGAAGTAAAAATATTTCATCCAACAATCAGCGTGACACCACTTTATCATTCAGATCAATCTTACTTGTTCTATTTTGATAATAACTAATATGAACACAACATTCTATTAGAATATTTTATAATATTTAGTGCCCCTCAGCATGATTTTCCTGAAAGACGGTCAGTCAGTCAGTCAGCTACAACGTAGGACCAGGCACATATATGCACCGGTCCAAGTTGCAATACCTCATTAACACAGCAAGATGAACACTGGATTCATAGAACTAGTTACTTCAGTGGTAGTAATATATAAAAGAAAGATTGCAATAAGGATATAGTACAGGAAGAAATAATTAGTTAGTAGGAAGAAAGATATGAAGTGATTTTAATCTCTTAGTTTAAGGGAAGACAGGGAGTGTATACACCGACGCCATTGTGATCGATTCTGAGCCATGTCACCAAGAGTCTCTAACGATTGGTTACGATAGTCACACGGACCCCAACCAAGTAGTCTGCATCTCCCAACATGGCTCAAACCAGAAGTTAGTGTCTTCAAGCACTGATGTCACGTTTTGGTTTGGCCGCCCCTAACTTTCTTCCAACCATCTCTAACACCGGTTAGCATTGCACGACGTGGTAATCGGTGTTCAGGAACATGTAACACGTGGCCCAACCATCTCAATCGATGAAGATTAACAACCTCATCAACTGATTTACCATCATCTCCTAATACCCTGAGTAACGGTAGCAATTTACATTCTGGTTAATTTCGAAAGACACTTTTCCTTATGACCGATAATTATCTTTCTACTATCATTTGTTTTGATTGAAACATAATACTATTTTATCACTCGCCACCTAGTAAAATTAATCAGTTATATTTTCTGTAAGTAGCTTATGAGATGGCAGTCTGTCAGGTGACACATGTAGCTTTAAACCAATTAAATTCTAACGAAATAAATTTACATTAGTCGCAAATGATTGACCCCTGAACAGCGATCAGTATCATGTATATCTGATCACTTAGTGATAATCGCATTCTATCGATCAAGTCACTATGTGAGCACAATTCGAACTGACTGCTCAAATCACTCAAGAAGGATCAATTCCCCTAAAATTCGAGATGCACTTCACTGACGAATCCTAACTAAAACAAAACTTAGATTCACATTTTCTTCCTGATCCATTCCAACTACCCACCATTTACATTATTCATGATTGAATTTTGCGTTCATGCTTAAGAGATAGCTATATCAACACGTTTCACTAACGTATAGAAAAGTTGAATATTATTATAAAATAATAGTGTGGTTAGTAGTAACTACTTTTACCTAGTATATGTCTATTAAACTTACTTTTCTTCAGCTCCTCCTGTTCCAAAAATTATTCTATCTCAATGTTTAGTTGAAAGTAATAGTATCCAACTATTATGGGATACAATCAATACATCGACTCCATTAAAAAATGATGAAAAAGAACATTACCATATGCAACAGTCATTTTCACTTTTAAACAATGCATCTAATTCAAATGAAGTTAAACGTGCTTTAGATCAAATTGATAATTCAAATATCCAGTTGAGTTCCAGTCATTCTCTATGCTGTAAAGACTTATACCATTCATTATCTAATAGTGGATTGACAACACCTGCAACTGTTCGTTTACAATCAAACTATCATATACATGGATCTGTATCAGCATATGCTTTAATGACAAATTCAAAGGAAACAGAAGTCAGCAAAGAACAATACTTTCATCAGTCTATGGAGCATTGTAATCATCATCAACATAATCCCTTATCACTTTCATCAAATCAGTGTGCATTAACTGTTCCATCTACCCCAGAATTAAATGGATCGTATTCAGTAAATACCTTACATAAAAGTACAACAGTAAATAGTGATATTCGATTTCTATCAACTATGAATAATGGGGAATTAATTCAGTTTCAGTTAGAAGTAGATAATGGACGTGGTGGTCCATTCAAAGTACGTGTCTTTTAATATCTATTTTAATGCTGTTATTTTCTGTTTACATAATTGAATTTCAGAGACTGTCAACTGTTCATCGGTAACTAAAGAGTATTCATGTAATTTCAGCTGTAAAACAGATATATTTTGTAATGAAATGTTTATTTCTGCAGCACTAAGGTGAATAAAGAACTAAAATAAAAGTAATCGTAGTTAAACACACTCAAACATCCCTCAATATCAAAAAACTAAAAACTTCAAATACAGTTATTTTAGGGGTTTCTGAAGACTTTTGGATTCCATGGTTTATATCACAACCTATAATTAAACAGTCATTGAAAACCAGGAATCATTGAAAGACTGTTTCCTCTTAGCATGGGATTTCTCAGCAGTGCGCATTCCCAGCGCACTAGGGATCGAACCCAGGACCTTCAGGTTTTTCAACGAGTGAGTAAACCTTACGCTACTGAACAGGCATCCAATGGTTTACGTATCAAAGTGAAATTCGATGGTTTCCACAAACCTTTGTAGTAAAAATAATCATGTGTTCACCAGTGAACAAATTCAAGAGGCAATTCCTGGAGCTCCAGTAAGAAACTATTATCAGTGGAGTTCAACGGCGTTAAGATTAACATAAATGTTATCACTGGCAATGGACAATAGTCGTTCAACATGCCAGATTGATTGAAAAGGAAGCTCACTGTTGACTAGTCCAAAACCAGGACAAAGCGGATATCCAGTACTACCTGGTCATTAATGGTTGTTTAATCGAGATAAATCTGTGATCTAGACTATTTTAACACAGTAAGCTAAATATTTTTTTCCTAAAAAGTTCATCCGAAGTGTATTATTTCTCCTGCAACTTCGTGAAGCCATATGATAGTGTTTCTTAATGTGCATATTTAACCAATATATGTTATCCATCTTGCAAATGTTATTTTGTCAAATATAGTTACTCGTATTAAGCTGATCGGATTGGTGTACTAAATGTGCACTTACTACATTCATACAATTTTTAAATCCTCTTCTGGGCACAAGAGACACCTTTTCTTTTAAATAAAACTGCATAAGTGAGAAAATCTCTTCTGTTTATCTGATGTAAATTATTATGACTTTGGCTTTAAACACTCTAATCACACTAAAGTGACAAAATTGTGTTCGTACAATTGTTATCACCGTTTATTTATTATTTACTGAATGATAAGTAAATTAGCTATATTCGAAACTGACAATAATTTTACCAGATTTGTCGTACTGTAACAGAAATTCGTCTTTAAACCTTTATTGAATATAAACCAGTGATTTCAGTTCTACTCAACACTTCAGAAACAAATTGAAAAACTTTGAAATTTTGTTTTTAGAAATATAAAATGAACAGAAGTCTCCGAAGTTGTCAGTAGTGTAAGTAAGTGTTGTGTTTGTTTACTTACTGACACCTGTTAACCCTCGTAGAGAAGCATAGGCCACCCACCAGCATCCTACTCTGTCTTGGTAAATCCTTTTCAGTTGTTACCAGTTGCTATTCATCCTTTTCATATCTACTTCCGATTCCCGACGCAATGTGTTTTTTATCCATTCAGGATTCCAAGTTAGTGCTTACTTTGTGATGCAGTTTGATGGTTTCCTTAATGTATGTCTTATTTACTTGAAACTTCTTTTCTTAATTTCTTCTTCAACTGAAAGTTGGTTTGTTCTCTCCCACAATAGGCTGTCGCTAATTGTATCCGACTAACGGACATTGAGAAACTATACCTAAAGCTTGTTATTATCTACATTTAGAATTACGTCATAAGTAAATTGAGATAAATGTCTTACATGACATTATGTTGAACATTGAAATATTTCTTTTTCAAAATGATTTTTAACCTAAATAAACAAATCCTACTGGAACATCTTTTTTTTCATTGTAACGTTGATTTCTCTCTCTTTTGGTCAATGTCATTTTTCTGTAATTTAATGTATCTATTTCTTAGTATTATTATTTACTACAATTTACAGACGGTTTAGTGGGCTATGCAATAAATAATCATATATGTATATATATTCTTCCCCCTTACTAATCCTTCATCTTGTGTTTAAGTTGGTTACTTGGGTCGAACTTTATATCAAATAGAAGTAAAGTATAGAGTCTATGAACAGTTAAATCATCTTTATACTACACTACACTTGTTCATTATTTTTTTATATTTTCATGCTTACCATTCCCCACTTCACTATCACTTGTACTTTCCACAGTCAAGTATTCAATTCTATTCCAGTTGGTTAATGTATACTACAGTAAAGTGCCATTTTTCTAGTCTGTTGATGAGTCATAAATAAGTGAAAACTACTTTTATTTTTCTCTTATTTCTTTTTTTTATTATGATTGTTTTTTTCTTTCTGAAAATTATAGACCAAACAATCCTGTTTTTATCAGAAATTTCATTCAGTGTATTTTCTTTATTTTTCTCCCTGTTCACCCCGTAAAGTTGAGAATAGCTGTTTTATGTTGTTACCTTATTTTATTTGGTGTAAATTTTATCATTATTACGAGGAATTTGAAGACGTTGAAAAAGTATGGGATTGTAAAATTATCTTTCCCGTTGGTATAAGAGATGTAAATCTAACTTATATTCTTGATAACTTTATCACAACATTGACTGAATATTTTTAGTTTACATTACAGATTTGTCTTAATTAGACACCTATTGAGAATCACAAAGTATTGGACAGCTTTTTGGTTTTGGTATAAGACTCCTTAGCAGTGTGCATAAACGACCCTATCCAGTAACAAACTCAGGACATTTAGTCTTAACTTTTACAACCGAGTTAGGATCCAATGGCCTTCATGTCTAACTTCAAATCAACTACCAATATTATATATATATATATATATATCAGTGCTATTAGCAAACAACTGCATCACACTCGACATGGCTGAACTCCACGGGTCAAGACTTCTCACTAGAACTAAGTGAACTGTCTCTCAAGATTAGTTATTAGTAAACATATGGTTGTCATGAGTGTGAGGGGTTTGAGGAGATTATTGAATATTATAGTTTACGTTCCGAATTTAATAAATGTAGAAATGTAAGCCATTAGCTAGCAACTTATTAGTCTACAGTTTAAGCACTGACCAGGTAATCTGGAAGTCCAGTGTCTTGCTTTTTCTGGAGTTGTTGATACACATCTCTGAGCAGTCCTATGTTGGATCTAAACGACTGTCCAGTTCATCCTAGTTATCAATAGTTGTCAAACAAAAATCAGTCAAGAATATAAACTATGAAGTTCATCAACCTTTCCGAACCTCTTTACCTAGTAAAAATCAAAAAGTTTCGTCATCTGATACTTCTGAAAACATTTTAAGATGACATCGGTCAAGATTTTAGAATAAATACTAAATTAATTGTATGTGATGAAGGGAAACAAAACCAATCAGCTTATAGTTTAAAATGAGCAAATCTGTCCGAATGCCATTAAATGGATCCTTTAAAATAATTAATAAGATGACTATAGTATAACTAAAGTCAAAATATGTAGTAAACACGAAGAAATGGTTATCAAACTAAATTGTATCATCAGAACTTGTTCACGGAAAATAAATGGCCATTTTCACTAAAATAATTCCCGAAGCTGATCATCTAGAAATTTCAGCCAATTTTCTGTAACATTTTTCTTTCAATAATTGAGATCATAAGTCAATTGAAGTTAGATCGCCATGGAAAACCTACAAACACTAGACGACCGTTTCGTCCTATTGTGAGACTCCTCAGCAGTGCGCATCTGGGTTAGTTGTAAGATAGCAACTCACTGAAAACAATAGTGGACGCGTTGCTCAATCTCGTGGATTAGTTGAGGTTAAACATTAACACCGTTGGATGCCGGCTCAGTGATCTAGAGGTTAAGCGTTCGCGCGTGAGTCTTGTAGGTTCTGGGTTTGGATCTCGCGAGGAGAAGTCGTGGATGTGCACTGCTGAGGAGTCCCATACTAGGGCAAAACAGCCATTGAGTGCTTCCAGGTTTTCTATGATGGTCTAACTTCAAGTGACTCATGATCTCAACTATTAAAAATAAAATATATTTCAATGATCAGTTATGAGTTTATGAATTGGTGACTATAACATTAGTTCTGCTTATTTTTTGTTTCCTCTCAGTAACAGAAAAATCCAAAATATTGATACACAATCTAAAATCGATTTATCTGTCTTTACATATTTATTTAGGTAATAGTGTATTTTCACATTATCTACCGAGTTTGGTTTCATACATAACAAACCTTGGATGATTGTGTACCGGGATACACATTACCTTGTTGTTTAGAATTTTTTTTATTTTCTTGCATGTTCATTATCATATTAATATTCTTGTAATAGAAAAATTCTGTGCTATTTGTAATTTGACCTTAGACAAACTATAGAATAAATTAATTTCGTGATTTTTCTATATTTTCTTAAATATAACCATCTCTCAGCTATTTAACTAAGTTCCAATTTAAGAAACACTTAATCAAATATTTGTAACCATAACATTTATGTCATTATTAATATAACTGTGAGGGTTTCTAAGCAAAAGATGGATACATCCATCCAGGTACATCCATCTGACGAGTCCCAAATAGGAAGAAACGCGCGTCCTGGATTCCACTTTTAGCCACTATTCATCTTTGCTTAGAATGCTTGTGAATTATGACAATATCGAGGTAATCTGCACATGATGCACATATGCCAACATGAGACCGATCAATTGCAGTCCTAAATAACAATGGGAAGATACAAGTAAAACAACACCAAGTGAATGTAAGGGCTTCTCTTTTAAAGTATTATTTGAAATAAGTTTAAAAAGGAAATTTAACCAGAGATCTACATAGTTAGTTAACTATCACAACTAATCAAAGATTGAAATTATTATGTTTCTATGTTGGAATTAACTGACTAAGCAATCTGTTTGTTTAAGTGTAAGTGATCAGATAATAAGTTTGTATATTTTGCACACATAATATAACTGAAATTCTACTATGGTAACGTGTGCTTACTAATTTT